ATCTGGACTATATGTTGGTACTGCCCCCATTCTGTAACAGTTGGAGAATATTCACTATATAGTTACATAAATAGCCCATAACATGACCCCTAATAAAGACTATTTCAGGGTGTGAGCAGTACCCCAACTATATGAATCGAACACCTTTTTTTTAAGACCGAGGATCCAAACTGCTAAGGATATGACGTGTAGCCGGGCAGTTGTGCAGGAAACTGCCCCTAGCAGATCCTTGCCTCCTGTGAGAGGCGCCCAGTCAAGCTAGGCCAGTGTGGGAGTTTCTCACCACTGTAGTCTCCTGAGGAATTATTCTAAGTCTTTATTATAGTATATCCTATGTTTAAACTATTCTTTAAACATTTTCTTTATTTTAGACCTAAGGGGGACAATAGAAGATTCTTTCTCCTTATCTTACTGGGGTGTAGTAGGTAATGAGGGAATCGGCTATAAAGAGTTATAGAGAGATTGCATTTCCTTGTTCCTTACTAGGACCAACGATATTGGGTGTACCTAGAGGCTGTTGTCTGCTTAGGAACTAACTAAGGGGTTTAGGATTTAGGGTTTAGGGATTTTATTGTAGTCTAACCCTGAGGAACCATTAATTGACTATACCCCCCTATAATCCCTATGTAATGTATTCCTATATTCCCTACTAAGCCCCATTGCTTGCAACCCCCAGCATCCGAGTACCAGAACAGCCATGCCAAAACCGTAAAATGCGGTCCTGGACGGCTGCATCTGAGCACCAGAGCAGCCATGCCCAAACCGTGATAACGGTCATGGTTGCCAGGGCATCTCTGCCCAAACCACAATACCGTTCTCTCTCGAGTGCGTACGCCGGCGTACGCTTACCAGAGCATCCATGCCCACACCACCATAATGTTCATGATTGAGCATTTGCATGTACCAAAGCATCCATGCTCAAGCAGGCTGTTGACGCCAAGCAGTGCTCCTGGCTTCGACAAGACTGCGAAAACGCGGCTTGCATTCCACCGCATTCTGCTGTAGAACTTCGCGGGGGCAAACCGAAACTCTTTTCGACACCAAACTTGCCACCAAATCTCACCAAGACAACCTCGTCCATTTTAGAAATTGACAGTGCCGTGAATGTGGTATAACCTACCGGGTCACTGTTTTGGCATCGCCGACGACGAGCGATCCGCAATTGTGTGTCTTCGTATCATAGGTCTAGGGGTAGAACAGTAGGCAGGACTGCAGGGTGTAAGTAGTGCAGTCTCTCCCCAAATAAAGATTGTAGTGGTTCAGGTGGTGTGAAGGGGGGTTTACTGACATGAGAAACTCCTGCGTGGGCATATTCTCCGTGAGATGGCTTAGAAGATTTTTCGAGTCCTGGCTGTTAAGAATCCTTTTCTACATTGTGACACGTTTGACCAACATTTGAGGGGTGCCTCCTTGGTGAAAAATCGCCATCTTCCTGAAGCAAAGCCTTCAGCGGCGTGAGGGCTGCTGACAAGACGTTGGCACAAGCCCCCACCGCAATATCAGAGAGGACTACGGCTCGAATATGGGCTGTGTCAAATAGAAAGATAGGTACTCACCCCTAAACGCCTTAAACAGTAGTTTCCATGCCATCTTCCATTTGTTTCTCCATTCTCCTGATATGTCCGTACATAGCCCATTAAAACGGACCTAAGGTCTCCATGTGATTTTCCATACTCTTTTCCATTTAGTTCTCCATTCTACCCTAAGCCCTAGGTAGCATGGCAGTTTCCTTTGTGTTTTTAATTTTCCATTTTTTCTCAATGGTTCCCCTATATACCCCAAATCATACCCCAAAGCAATCCGCGTATGACTTATATCCCAATAAAGGCCTACTGCCCCTGTAAAACCCTATATGATCCCTACAAAGCCGTATACATCCCCTACATGCCTTAAAGCCTTGAAAATGGAACCCTCCGAGACACCGGAAAGGTAGCTTGCCGAAAGGCTTGGTTTACAGGGCTATATAGGGACAAACATTCATTACAGGGTTATACAGCATTGTATGGTGACTCCCCCGTTGATGTAGCATCAAGTGCGCGAGAAATTAAAAAATGACATGGAAACTGGGATTGGGGTTTGGGATTATGAAGGGGCATTGTACAAGAGTCACTTTCAGAGGGTTCCAAGGGCGTGGCCTTCCTGAACCTCTACAGCATTTTTTCCGGAGTCCTTAGCCAGGGTGTGACTGTTCCCGGAGGGACCCCCTAAACCTGAAACCCTACACTCTCCCAAACTAACATGGAAACCCATAAGGCCGCCTTTTAGAGGGACTGTAGTCTTTGTAGGGCCCTTCTTGGGTTTCCATGTTAGTTTCCGGGAGTGTAAACCCCATGGGGAGGGGACATGTACTCAACGGCTGTTTCCGTCGATGATTTATCTTTTATGAAGGGAGAGGCTGCACCTTACGGAACCCTGCATCTGGAGCCTTACGACATGTATCCTACACCTTACAGCCTATATCTCTGTATCTGATTAGTAGCACAACAAGGTATGGGTCCATAGCCCCCGTGCCAGACTGGTATGAACTTATCTGTGGTTGGCAGGGAATGGAATGAGGGAGTCCAAATCAAAATGCAAACTGCTAGATTATCAGGCGTTATATAGGGGGCTACTCTAGTGGATCCATTCCTTCATTCCTTGCTGGCTAGAGGTAAGTGAATTGCCAAGGCAAGTGCTCCAGCAGCAGCAGCAATTGGTCCAGCGTCAGATGCAGATGCAGAACCAGCCGCTCAGCACCACTCGTTATGTGTACCTGCAAGCCCAAAAGTATGTAGAACAATCGCTTGTTTGACTATTTTCGGGTTTACATGTTATGTAAACCTCCAAGCCTGAGGACATTTTCGCAGTTGCCGCGAAAGTACGGAGATCCCCAAACCCTAAATAGTAGTTTCCATTTTTTCCCCACTATTCCCATATAACTCCAATATTACGCCAATGGGTGAGAAGCCCCTAAACTCTCGGCAGTAATGCTGGACCCGCTTTAATATG